CTTTGCTGTCAAAACTGTGGAGTCAATACCTAGATAAGGTCTGCAACCTTCAAGAAAGCCATCAATGCATGGCTTCAGTGCTACAAATATCCTACTGAATCTTCTTTTGTTATTCTCAACATCCCACTCAATCTCTACAATACTGCCAGGACTCCTCCTCAATTTCTCTTTTCCAAGAAAAGACATGTACAAAGTTGTCCTCCTAGCCACCCAATATCTCATCTAGGGCCATTTGCCGGCCGGCCCTAACAACGTAGTAGCTCACCAGCATGTAGTACTTGTCCTCTAACTCGCCCTTCAAAACTTTAGGACCAAGAGTTGGATCTTCCCTAAGCCAATTTATGACTCTGTCCTTGACCCAGTGATTGGTAGCCATGCAATTCCTTTGCACTTTGCCTGTGCTGGCACAGTTATGCTTGTGTGGTAACTTCTTAATCTCCACACATCAATAAAACAAGGAAACAAAGTGAAGAGTTAGTAACACTGAATCAATAACTGAATCAATAACTCAATCAATAACTAAATCAATACCTGCCATGTCCTCCCATCTTCACAATGAGATGCATGAATCCTCCACCTACACCTCTTGGCCTTACAATGTGCTCTATACCGCCGTGACTCACTATAAGGAACTGCAAGTTCAACTTCATTAAGCACAGCATATTGCCTAATACACCTCTTAAAACATAAACCATCTTCAAAAGTAACACCAACAACTATCTTAGGGTTATCTATGTCAGTCACATGCACCACACACTCACAGCCCCTCTCATCATCCACACCTAGTGGGTCATCATCTTCTGGGTCAGTGTCAACATAATAATCACTGTCCTCAGCATCATCAATGAGCACATCCTTGTACTTCTCTTTCTCATCATCTACTCCTACATACTCAACTTCACCAGACTCTCCCCAGTCATCATCAACCTCAATATTATCATCACCTTCAGGATTATCATCAACCTCAACATTATCATCACCTTCAGGATTATCATCAACCTCAACATTATCATCACCTTCAGGATTATCATCAACCTCAGCATTAGCATCAACCTCAGGATTGGCATCAACCTCAGGATTATCATCAACCTTAGGATTATCATCACCTTCTGGATTATCAACAGCTTTAGCAGTATGAACAGCTACTGGATTTTCATCAGGCAGAATCATAGTTAATGGCAAACAAATGACCTGACTCTGTTCTGTGCTAACAACAGACTGAGTATCACCAGATGCATTGGCATTACAAACTTGAGACTGTAATAAACGAGGACCAGTGTCAACAACCTCAACAGTCAGTGGCACCCTTCTCCTGTCCCAATACACATCAAATGCATGTAGTGAGAGAGAGCGTAATCGAATCTATGCGCACTTTGTCTCATCCTTGGTTTTGTCAAAGAAAGTAACCTCCAGTGCTTGATCTTTACCATGAACTATGTCCTCAGCAAGGCAATCATAAAAACCCATCCAACTGAAGATATCCTTGTCCACCACACGCGTGAAGTTAGCAGTTACATGATAATCATCGAGCCCATCTGGTCTTTGCTCTACATAGGCAGGTACTCTAATTGCCAAGACGTCGGATCCATCCTAATTCAAAAAAGACCACATCCAAACTAAACGATTTCAAACCGCAACATTTCTAACGCATCTGCAGTCATACAAATCGAAAGAGTACGGGTTTAAGAAATCTCACCCTTTTGGAATCTATTTCGGCACCCTAGGCGGACAACCAGTGCACCGCGCGTTCTTCCTATTGGGGGACTTCATCTTCGGGTCGCGGGGGTGCTGCAGATCCTCAGCCCCCCATGGTGGATGACGGTCGAGGCTAGAGGTGTCAGCGGCGGGCACCGGAGTGGACGGCGTCGCGGCGGGCACTGGAGTGGAGTGGACGGCGTTGCGGCGGGGCTGGAGGTGTCAGTGGCGGGCACCGGATGGGTGGCGGCGGGAGTGGGATTGGGGAAAGTGACGGCCGTTAAAACCCTAACACGCGGGACGGGCCGGTTAACCAGACCAGGCTCGGGTCAGTTATTAGCTGGTCCAACCAGACCCAAACGTGGCTCAGGGGCACCGGATGTACAAACTTAATTTTTCTCTCTCCTCAACCGGTGGAAACCGGCCCGCGGTGTTCTCTGGCATAATTACAACAAAGCAGAGTGTCTTCTAGCATACAACTCCACTTTGGGTGTCCGCCAGCAAACGACCACCACTGTGGGTGTCCGCTAGCCAATTTCCCCTTTTTTCAAAGATATGCACTGTACTGTACCATACAATGGATCTGAGGACCTTAAATTTAGGCGTGAGAAGCATAAAGGCATACTGTACGCATATTGGTCAGGTTAGTCGTTTCTTCTCTGTTTCGGCGAAGAACGACGAAGCTTTGGCCGAATGTGACCTAAACTTTGGCCGATAAGCCACGGCTGAAAGTACTGTTGGTTGATTTATTGTGAGAGAAAAATATTGTTCGTTGGCTGAAAAAGTACGGTTTATAAGCCAAACGAACGTAAAGCGAAGCAGCTGAAAGCCCGGCCGAAACCAGATTCCAGAATGACGTTGCCCACTGCCCACAGGACGAGAAACCAGCCGCTTGCTAACTCTCTCAGGCCACCCCTAACGCTCCTACGTGTACTGTAGCCTCAAACTTACCCACCTGTCAAAAGGAGCCAACTCACCTTGCTAGTAGCTTGCAGAGGTGTCATATTCTTCTGCAGAAGATGTTATAGATTGGCTGACATATAGCATTAAGCTACTAGTTTTGTGTGTGAGAGAGCAAAGAAGGTAAAAGCTGACACGCAGAGAGAAGAGAGAAGAGGGGTAGGGACAATGAACAAAAAGCAACAGCTGCCTGTGTTGTGTGTACAGTAGTCTGAAATGTTGCTTGTGCTTTGCTTTCTGGTGCTGTCATGTGACTGCGTTGAGGCTGCCCTCAACTAACCTCGAAAGATGACTTGTGAAAATTCGCAAAAGGAGGACGGGGCACAAAAAGTGGGAAGCGTCGGTGCGGGGGGAGACGAAATTCCAAACTTGGGGTTCCTTCTTCCGTACATATCGGGAATCCCTTGAGACCTCACATCAAAGATTTTAGGTTGGCAACGCTGAAAGCAACCCCTGATGCTCGCCGGCCCTAGGGCAAGAGGAACACAGAACACGCTACACCTCTGAATCTTTGGCGATCTAGCTCAAGAAAATCTTATTTCTTGTATGCTTTTGATTCTGCAACTTTGTTAATTAATTTGGATCTCGTTCTAAATTAGTAGCACGTGTATATATAAGCTTTGTGGAGTGATCAGGGAACTGAAGCGCCGTGCGTGAACAGCTAGTGCGTTCTTCTGAGTTCTGAATTCCGTGAGTGATGGATCTCACGCTTTCACGTGAGTTTTTGCTAGGTAGAAGATTGCTCGCTCAATCTTCGTCAAACTTTAAGATTTGTAGTCAAATAAAATATGCAAAACTGGCAGAAGTCACCAGCCTCCAACAGACCAATAGATCAAGTAGACGTAGAAAAAAACTTGTTTCTCGTAAAAGAGAGAGGATTTTTATGTATAAAATCAGAACAGGAAGAAAGAACAGGGAAAGAGACGCACGTCTTAACCCTCCAACTCATGCAACCAGGGCCGGCCCTGGGGGCGGGCAAGCGGGGCGGCCGCCCTGGGCCCCCAACTCCAAGGGGCCCACCCTAAGGTATGTACACAACACAGGTATATGTATTTGACATGTTAGCAATCAAGGCCCAGCAGCATTGTCAGCCTGCCCAAGGACGCAGTTGGCATCTACGACCACGAGAAGCTATCCCCACCCGGCCAGTCCGCGGGTGACACGAACACACCGATACGCGCTCTCCTCGACCTCGACTCCTCCTGTGCGGCGGTGATGCGAGACGCGAATCACTGTCCACGGATGACGCACATGAGACGGCAGCGATGCAACGCAAGACGCGATTCACCGAGATACCAAGACGCAAGTAGCATTTGTCAAAAAAAAAGACGCAAGTAGCAAGCTTCTGCAGTTCTGCTCCGTGTGAGTATGATCTAGGTATGCAGACCAAGTCCACAAAAATCCGATGCCAGTGCCGGCGATTTAATCAGAATAGGTTTGTACGTCCTCTGCTGGCCTATTATGCTCTAGAATTGAACGTGGTTATATATTTACATTGGTTGAGTTCTGACTGATTGCAGGAGTGCCCTCACCATTATAGCATTGAAGCATAATGCGTTAATCGCTGATTCTTTGCTCGTGCTCAATTAAAATTAGGGTGTAACCATACAAAAATTGATTTAATTTTAGATTGAAGTTAATGTGAATTACCAGATTGGTGTTATTTTTTTGGCTAATTCGTTCTCCAAATTTTAACAGTATCATGTCATCAAGAAAGTAAGCTTCCGGCAGTGAAAAAAGAAAAAAAAACACGAGTAAATGAGTTGATACAATCACAGAGAGGGTCTATCCATAAGTTTTAAAGATAATTTATATGTATGAATTGTTTCGTATGATTGTTGTTTTTGCATATGAAATTATGTGTTTATCATTGACATTGCATATGTATTTTTACGTATAAGTATTGTCACTATCATGTACTTAAAGGGCCCTGGATATTGGTTTCGCCCTGGGCCCAAAAAAACTCAGGGCCGGCCCTGCATGCAACTTTTATTCAGCCACAATATACCATGACATCCATCAGACCATGATAGTAGACCATTACAATAGCAGCAATGGCAGCGCACATCATAACCCATGACTTAACAATCTACTATTTCCACACACACAAACGGCACGAGCTAAGCAACTGTTACCGGAACCTCACAAGTCACAACTCGGAGCAGTTCAGTTCACTTCAGTCCATACGCATACGTCATTACGTCTTCACTGACTGGTTCTGAATACATACGACTAGAGCAGTTCCAGATTATTTCTGCAATAATAGTTTGGAATTTTAGGATTTTTATATACGGTTATTATAATGGAGGGTAGATCGATCTTGCTGTCTCTACTCTCTAGTCTCTTCAGATGGCGAGGACGAGGCCCGGCAGCGACTTTTGCGCGCTGTCGGCGCGGCGGCTCTGCCACAGGCACTTGGGCCCTGCAGCTGCAGACGACGACGCGGCCGAGGGGGATGCGGAGGAGGAAGAAGCAGAGGCAGCGTCCTGCTGCTTAGACGGAGCGCCTGCAATGTCAGCTTTCTTGGTGGAGGAGGCGGCGCCGGAGCCGGAGAGGAGGGTGACGGTGAGGTCGGTGTTGAAGTACTCCCTGAGCTGGGTGATCACCCCATCGGGCCCCACGGTCCAGGCGTGCACCCAGTAGAGATGGCGCGCGTCGTCGGCGCCGCCCTCGGCGATGACGGTGGACCCGAAGGCGTCGACGGAGCGCGGGGAGAAGACGAATCCTCCTCCTCCTCCGCCGCCGCCGCGGTTCTTGTCGTCGCGCTGGTCCGCGCCGGTGAGGAGGCGCATCATGTGCTGGCGCGTGGGGGGCCCATGGAACCACCACTCGAGGTCGGGCGCCAGCAGCTCCTGCGCCCGGCGCGCGTCGCGGGCGTTGAGCGCCTCGTACAGCCGCAGCACCAGGAAGCGGTTGCGCTGCTCCGCCGACTCCCCGGCGGCGAACTCCGGCGCCTCCGCGTCCAGCTCCGCCGTCTTGTGCGGGCGCGGCGACGCCGCCGCTCCCTGACCTCGTGGGGTAGCCAACTAGCTCCTGCCGCGAGCGCCGCGTAGGCTATGGCTCTCCGATCCGATCCTCTCCCCGCTCCGCTCGAGGCTGTGGCTTTGAGAAACTGTCGAGCAGCTTCTGCAACGGAAATGGCTGGATGGGGTGTGTGATGGATGGAGACGAGGACGCGGTGTGGAGGCCTGCACTGTGTGTGGGCTGTGGCGTGGCGGGCGGGGTGGTTTATATAGAGGAACGCCGCGCCCGCCGCGGCTAAGCGTTACGGAGTAGATTAGCATCTAGGTCCTCGCAATTTGGAGATTGTGCTGTGAAATCTCTGCTGTCTCTGTATCTACGTCTCTGTCATCTTTAACCGTCGGCCGTCGCAGTCTGGGGCTGAGATATCTTGAGATTTCAGGGGGGACTTAACCGCGAAATCAGATATCGGGAGTAGCGCGTGCGCGTGTCATGTTGGCGCGATGCAAGCCCACGGCAGCAGCTCATGAGCGGACGACGATGGCATGGCCACATCTCGGGGCGTTCGCTTCGGTGCTGGCGCGTCCAGCCAAGTCCCAGGCAGCCTCGGCCCCTGCCCTCCGGGTGCAGAGCCGCGGGTGCCGTCGTCGTGCTCACCAAGAGGCGCGCGCGCGGCGCGCCCCGTGCGGAGTGGGTAGTGGGCAGTGGCCGTGTCGTCAGAGTGCGTGAGCACTGGCACTTCGCGACGGCAAGTCTCGCAACTTTTTGCTGCGATCCCATGTAGCCGCATGGCATGCGACGTGGGCGTTGTCAGCTGTCACCGCTCGTCTTGTCTCCATCTTGGGGCGAGGTGATCGGGGGAGGGCTCCTCTGTGTCGTGCCGTGTCCCCGGATCCCTGTACCGGTCGAGAGCACTGCACTGCACCGCCGGGCGACCACGCGCACAAGCCACCAAAGAATCATGTCTGTTGGCATTGGCACACCATCGTTTTCCATACGTTGGTTGGTTGGTGCGTGTGCATGCTCCTGCAAATTTCTTTTTTCTTTAGGAGCACTAACAAACTGATCGCAGACATATTCACCAATCTTGACACGAGTGATGACCGAAGCAACGGCTACGAATCTCTTCATATCGAACCGAGAGTGCAAGCACGAGCACCCAATTAAGCCATATCGCCTGTTACCCAGACTGTACGATGTTGGTTCGATCGGGTCTGTCACCCATCAACCTGCAAAGCCGGCCACGGGCCACTCACGAATCATCGTGAACCCGGGCCAGAGTTCCTCGTCCCTCCACGCTCCACCTCCGTCGTCCTATGGCCTTCGCCTGCCGCGCCGCCCGCAAGGAGAACACCAATGCCCCGAGCTGCCCTTGGACCTCAAGCAGCGAGGCTCATCAACCCTCTTCTTCCTTAGGGCAACCCCTCCCCGACCCTACTATGATTGCATCACATTGCAGACCTTGGGCACGCGTTTGTGATACTACGGCCGGAGGTTAAGGTTCGAAACTGCAGGCGGAATCTGTGGCGTGGCAGTGCTCATCTGCTCAAGCGCCACCACACGAAGGTGGTGGAAGCACACCTATGGACCAGACGACACGCTCGGGCCATAGCTCTGCGAACTCTCCGCTCGTACCGCCGCGTCCGCAATCTATTAGTACATACTCTCCTCCCAGTGTTGATGTGCACGAGTCTAGACATCTGCTCCGCGAAAGGTGGCACGAGCACTCATGCCAAGTTGTAAAATAAAAAAATGTATACCATCCAAGAGAACTCTGTACTTTGATCTAACCCTGGCTGATGCTCAGGTCTCAATCTTTGTGTTCTGCCCCATAAAAGCCATGACCTGAATCGTCCAAGCAAGATCAATCACGGGACTGCATCAAGTTGACCACCATTGCTGCACTCTTGCACCTGTAGATTCGTGCACACAATCTGTTTGATTCAATGTTTTACAGCCTTATTTTCTAAAATATGGCAATCTATAATCTAAACTCTTCTACCCCATCTCTTATGACTAAATTGATGTTCTTACATCAAGAAACCACTTTCAATTCTACATATTTCCACATGAATTTTATGCTTCAAGCTCTAATATGAATGAGAAGCGGAGAAATCCTCAAAAGTGCATAAGGTGCATGTTGTGCAAATTTGAAATGGGTTCTCTACTACTTTAACAGCAACTACATATATGCACTTTCCTGATCCAACATTTAGTTCAATTGATCTGTATTTATTAAACCCTTTGTAAATTTAATTTCCTTTCTAGAGATTTCATCTCTAATTACGAAATCTAAAAATATGTAATATAAACTCCTCTACATGCAAGTGTCACATGCAGCTGTTTTCTATGACTTATTTTCTTCAGATTTACTATGTTATAATAATATAAGATGGTGCAAAGCCTGATCTAATTTCTAGATACCTAATCTTGCATTTTAAATTCCTATTCCTAAAAATTTATAGTAGTAGAAACTTTGCTTTTCAAAACCTGAAATATAGTATGGTGCAAAGGCTAGTCTAATCTCTAAATATGTTATCTTGCAGTTAATATTTATATTCCTAAAAATTATATTAGCATAATCTTTGATTCCCAAAATCTGAAATTTTATTATACACTAGCATATCTTATTTTCGTACAGCTATGATGTCCTGATTCCATATTAATAAGATAGTGGCTAAAACAGATACAACAAGTGAACTAGTTTACCAACTATTAGATTAAACAAAAGAAATAAGATTAACTTCTGACTTAGATCCTGGAAGTTTGTTTTGCGGTTCTACTGATGCCTTTCGATGTAAATCAAATTATTACCAATAGTCTATGGGACCCACGATCCTCACTTATGGTTTTACAAGAAGCTGCAAGAAAAAGAAGACAAACAGAGCCTCCATTCATAACTAAAACGGGAATAAGTCATCTTTTCATCATGTAATTTATACAAAATTAATTTCCGTTATATATATGATTGATAAGTCATCTTGTTTTGGAACCTCCTCAAGTACTCCTGCTCAGATTTGTTTCTCAAATGTCCTCAGCACCATACTTACCTCTCAACTCTCTGCTCTTGATGGTCTTCAGGTGCCAATCTCAAGCTCTCAGCAGATGCTGCCAACTCCCTTGGGGTGAGATAAGCCATATATTATTGTTTTATCTCAAATATAAGGATTTAAAACCAATAAAAAAGTAGCACTGTCTTATCACGAAGATATATATGAACTGTAGGACTAGATTGTTCATGCCTAGCACCAACCTTTGATATCTATCTACTTTGTAATGATTTTTTTTTGTCAAATAGTATTATTTTAATAAGTAATTGCAAATCTAGATGGTGTTATGAAAAATTTGCAAGAATAAATGCCTATCAACACTTAGAAAGCCGATTGGACACTTATCGGCTATTGGTCAGCCGATATGGGAATATCGGTGCCTTGGAGGCCGATTAGTTGCGCCACGTAAATTTAAGAATGGCCACGTCAAAGTTTTCTGTGCCGACAGGCATATCGGCATCCCAAGGGCCGACTGGACATCAAACAACCCTCTCGGCCTTCCTGTAGCCGATAAGCCTCAGGCTCGGCCACAGTAGGTACTCAGGCGTCCAGTCATTCCTTTGATCTCATTTACATTTATTTAATTCTTTACCTTTGCATTTACCAGTGTGACTGTTGCATATGCTTTTGGCATTTAGGGGTGTTTGGTTCTTTAGTCGCTCCTAAAATTCATGTCACATCGAATATTTAGATACTAATAAAGAGCATTAAATATAGATTAATTACAAAACCAATTACATAGATGGAGGCTAATTTGCGAGACGATTTTTTAAGCCTAATTAATCTGTCAGTAGCACATGTTTACTGTAGCACCATGTTGTCAAATCATGGACTAATTAGGCTTAAAAGATTCGTCTCGCAAATTAGTCGCAAGTTGTGTAATTTGTTTCGTAATTAGTCTATATTTAATATTCCATGCATGTGTCTAAGCATTCGATGTGACAGGAATTTTAGGAGCGCCTGTAGAAACCAAACAGGGTCTTAGATGCCTCCATTGGAATCCAGCAAAGAGACGGCAGTTGTAACACCCCGGTGTTACATTGTAATATTTTGCTAAAACATTTCATGAGCATCATAATTATGTGCATGTGTGTATAACATAAATTATAAAGCAATGTTGGCCCTTGAAACAGATATATGAAACGAGAAAGCGAAGGTTATGTTTCGTGTCACATAACGTTGTTTATTACCCTAATCGAATTCTTGTCAAAACAAAAGGGCTAGAGAACGTTTTGTGAACGGCGATAAATCATGTGCGGTCAAGGACAATGTAACTAGCTAGTACACCCCGTGGGTCGGAATTGGTTTTTCGACGCGAATCGTTCGTAACAAAGTCGTTCGCGTAAGTTTTTAATTGGGCCGACGGTGCCACTTTTGACAAGCTCTGTGGAGCGATCGGCTTAAGCAGTAGCGCGGTGTCATGACTGCGATGGATAGCTTAATGTACCCTCTCGTGCATCGAGCAAATGGTTTGGTGTTTGGAGCATCGTGTACGACTTTTTCAGTTGCTTTAAAAATCGTGCACGGCACCTAGCTGAGCTCTGGGCGCGGTCACCACCCCTGCTTGCTTGCCAGCGCCCCTGTCGCGCAGGCCACGTCCACTGCCACGCCGGCTGCGTTCCTCCGTCGGGTCTACGCACGGGCGCGGCTCTGGCATTGCGTGCCAGGTCCGTCTGCCTCCGCTGCCGGCCACGGCCACACTGCTTCCCCACCGTCGGCCAAGGTCTCAGTTGCTGCTCATGCCGCCATGTTGTGATGCGAGCGGGCCCTGCGCTATAGCCTCAGATGCTTGCTGTCCTCGTAGGCGCGTGGGTCACCTCATCGGCTAACGCGTTGCGCCAGGACCCCGACCGTGCACCGCCGCACCATGCCCTGCTCTGCACTGCCTTGGCCGGGAGCGTGCCGGGTCCGCACTACACGCCACCGTCACCACGCCGCTACTGCTCCCTTTGACCCGCCTTGGCTGCACGCGCACGGATAGATCACCTGTCCCACCGTCATCTCGGCGTCACAATCCCGCTATGCCCCTTGTCGGGCGCTGGCCGCTTCATCGCCGAGTTGTGCCTCGTCGGCTTGCTGCCGCGTCGTGCTGACTAGCGCCTGGAGCCACGACCTGCTGCTCCCCATAGACGTACACACGGGTAATTGCGTTGACATCCGCAGTAGGTCCGAGCCAAGCCATTCCAAGGCCCCCCTGTCTACGATGTCGCCATGACCGGCGAGGTCGCTCTTCAAATTCATCGTGGTAACTGTATCGTGCTTCAATTGGTCTTGCCCGCAGCCCCACTAGGTAGCCGGCCCTCCAACCTACCCCACCGCGCTGCAGTTATCGCCTCACTGTACCTTAATTTCAAATCGCCGTGCCACCGGCTCCTTAAGTCCGGGCGGACGCCCTTCGACGGCAAGCCAGCCACTCCGAGCACCTTGTAGTAATTCAGTGTATCCCTAGCTCCGCCTTACCCTCCTAAGCACCCCGCGCACCGCAGCCGTGACTTTGCAACAGGCCAGCCACCACCGCCGCGCCCGTGCCATCGCCGGGTGTCGTCGGTGGGTCGGTGTGCACGCGGCCAGCTCTGCTCGTGCCACCTCCAGCCGTATCGTTGACGTAAAGGTAATCATGGGTAGTCACTGGAGCTCGTTAGCTTCGTTGTTTGCTCCGTTTTCGTTGCCACTCATAGGAGGGGAGCCATCACCGGGGAGGGAGCTCGGGACTGCGCCTCCGCTTGCCATATCACCCCCAGTCGCCGCGCGTTGTCTTCGAGGTACTCGTCGGCTCCTTAGCTAGGCCTAGTAGGGTCGGGTGGCGCCGGCGTGGCCGCTCAGTGCCTACGACATCACGCCAGTGCGCGCACGGCTGCCAGGGGCTACGCCGCGAGGAAGATTGAGAAAGGGGAGGGTGCTGCTGAAAAATGGTAGATTGGTGAAATAGTGTCGTAGAGTTCGCTGTAAATACCGAATCAACCCGGGGTGTCCGTGCATATTTGTCGCCGCACGCGGGTCTCTCCCGTCGCGGGCCGTTGGCCGTGGGCCGCGCCTCCGCATGGGCCATGCCGTGGCCTACTGGCGCGCGTAGGGAGGGAAGGCGGCTGAGCCGTGCGCGTGCGCTCGTGGCGCGTCGTTGCGGGCCGAGCCGCGCGATGTGGGCCGAAGTGGAGAATCCGGTTTTCTTATTTTTCCAGAGGATAGAAATGCTTAATTATTTTTGTTATGAATCCCACTTCGATAAATCGTAGTAAATTGCGTGGTTGTCTAAAAAGAGTGAGACTAATTTTGTTAGGTTCACAAAAATGCCATCTATATGTTAGTGTAGTTTGTTCTCAGCTGGCTGTTATGATGTTAGTCTCGGAAATTCTAATTAGAAAGCTTAGCATTATGTAGATTAATGTTGGTAGGAATTCTTGTGGTAAATCGGTAATAGTTTTAGCTTTAGAAATTGTACAGTATGTTTATTAGGATATTATGTGCTTGCTGTAAATTTCGTAGCCTTAGAACGAGTTGTTAGGTAGAGTAGCTATTACCTTTGCTTTATTGCATATAGTGTAAATTAGCGTTCGGAGTAAGAACATTGGTAATTGCTATAAGAATGTATGCCATGTTTAATACTTGTTAGTAGGTGGCAATACGTAGCTTAGCCTTTAGTGAGTAGACCT